ACCGTTGCACCGTTGCACCGTTGCACCGTTGCGCCAACGGTGTAACGGCGTAGCGCTACCCAGCACGCCGTCAGCCGCAATGGTGCAACGCTACACCGCTACACCGTTACACAGGTAGCGGCAACGGGGTAGCGCTACACCCTCACACCCTTGCACCGTTAGCCGCAACGGTGTAACGCTACACCTTTACACCGTCGCACCGCTACCCGCAACGAGCCACGTTGCGCTTCGTAGCTGCCCAGCCCAAGGTCCGTTCAGCCGCCAACCGAAGGGTCCCCAAAAACACATTTTCCAAACAAATGATTTGTAGGTCCCTTCGGTCGCTGGCTGGGCCGCGCGATGAGCCATGCTGTTGACGCCTGGGATCTGGGCGTCTATGGGGGCTGGTCTGCTTCGCTGCATCCCATGGTCATTGCGCAGCAGTGCAGTGGTGTAGCGGTGTAGCGGCGCAGCGGCGCGGGCGCCTCGCAGCTGCCCAGCCCCCCCCCCCCAACGATCGGCCGAGGTCCGTTCAGCCGCCGACTGAAGGGACCCACAGGGCATGGTCGGCCCAAACAACGCGTTGTCGGTCCCTTCGGTCGCTGGCTTGACAGCGCGACGCTGTTCCTAAATGACCTCGGAAGCAAACCAATATGAACCCAGAGTGCTCCAGGATGGCGTTCGCGAGCGATTGCGGGAGTTGCAGGAGGAGCATGAGTAGTGGGAGAAGGAAGAGAAGGAGGAGGAAGTCATGCACATAACCTCGTCATTGCCAGCATCAGGAGCATCCGTAGCCACGCGGGCTCAATCCATGGCGGGCCGCAGCCGGAGCCCCTGGGCGCGTCCGCAGTTGGCCGTGACCGATCCCTACTTCCACCCGGAGGTGGGCGACGTGGAGCAGGATGCCGCGCGGGATCCATACCTTCCTGGAGGACCAGACTCTGAGCCCGCCCCTTCGCCGAGCCTGCAGCGGCGTCGCCGCATGCCTGTCCATGCGCCGCGGGCAATATGGTCGCCGCGAAAGAGTCGATCAGACGCCGGCGCGCGGAGGGCCACGGCCACCCAGCCGAAACCGCGGGCGCCCCGCGCGGTTGCCGTTCGGGCTTCGGTGTGCCGAGGTTCCACCGCTGAGTCTTTGAGCGCGCCGCAGGCTAGCGGCCCGTGGCGCGATCCTCGGCAGACCGCGGCGCGCCTGGGGGGCGCCGCCGCGCGGGTGGCTGCAGGCAGGGCCGCTGCAATCCTGCGGGAGCTCAGGGAGTGCTCGCTGTTCTGCCCGAAGGCGGCCAGCGCGGCGTCGCCGCCGTCTCAGAAGCTGGCCGCTGGCGTTTCTGCGCGGCTGCGCGACGCGGATGTTTTCGCGCTCTCAGCGTGCGCTAGGTGTCGCGCCCCGCGCGCAGTTGTCACACGCCTGCGCAGGGGCGGAGACGGTCGGTTTGCGCGCCTGCGCGACGCGCGGACTGTGGAAGCAAAGTCGTTGACGGAGGTGCATGCGCGCTTCGCGCCCAGGCCAGACGAGACGGGCAGAGGCGCGAGCGTCCATTTCCAGCGGCGCGCCCCCTCGGGCGCCCCGGGCGCGATTCCGAGCTTGGATGCTGCCCCCGCGCGTGGTCTAACCAACCAGTGGGCCGCGCGAGTTGCGGTGCCGCGGGGCCCCGCAGAGACGGCGCACTTTTGCGGCCGCGCGACCGAAATGCAGCCGCGGGCTTCGCGTGATCGCGCGGCTGCCAGCGCTGCCCACGGCAGGCCGCGCGGACCCCAACCCATAACCGATCGAGTAGCGCAGGTCCGATATGTCCTCGACGCCCCCCCCCCCGCCGCCGTTTGACGCGCGCCCGCGGCGCTGTTCGTCGAGGGGGCGCGGGCGAACATTCCGCGTGGAAGACGCGGATGCACGCCGCTCTTTCCCCGGCATCCTCCTCCGCCATCCGCCGAGGGGCGCGCCGATCTACATGACTGCGGCCTTCCGGACTTTCGTCGTCCAGAACTTCTACGAGGAGCTGAGCGCGCGCGCCGTCCGTCGCGGGATCCTCAGTCTGCACGCCGCGAACGCCTCATCATTGCAGCTGGGTTCTGGCGCGGTTCCCGCTGCGACGGCTGCGCCGCCAGCTGGTGCTTTGCGTGCGATGCTCAAGGTGGCGCTCGGCAATTTCTTGGACGAGGCGGTGGCCCGTGCACGACGCCGTCAGTGCTTGTGCAATGGTCCGCCGATCTTCAGACCCCATCCGTCGCCAGATCCCACAGGCGCGGGGGTTTGGGGGCAGTGCTGGCCTCGCGAACGGGTCGGAAGATCAGGCGGGCCCCCAGGTCAGGTGATCCGAGGCGACGGGAACTTCAAGCTCGCCAAGCGAGTGTGCCATCGTGCGTGGGGGGCTCGCGCTTTCAGTTGCGGCCGTTCACCGTCGTCTTGGCGCGGGCCGGGACGGGCTGCAGTCTGCTGAAGCCCGTCACCCTGAAGCGCGGCGAGACGGTCTCCGCCACCGTCGAAGGTTTGTCGCCGCTGCTGGACAGCATCAAAGCCTCCCGCTTCGCCGCGGACCTGCCGCCCGAAGCGGGCGCCCCCGTCTTCCACGCCGCGGACAACTTCCGCAGCCACCGCGCGCGGCCCCGGGCCACGCGCAGGCAGAAGTGGCCGGAGCGGAACCTCGGCCCGCCGAAGCCCGAACGGCAAACGCGCGGAACGCCTGCGGTTGCGGCTGGGTGGCCGCGGCCCTCCGCGCGCGCTGTCTAATTGACTCTTTCGCGGCGACCTTATTGCCCGCGGCGCGTGGACAGGCATGCGGCGAAACCGGCGCTGGCTCGGCGGAGGGGCAGGCTCAGCTGCTGGTGGAAGGTATGGATCCCACACGGCATCCTGCTCCACGTCGCCCACCTCCGGGTGGAGGTAGGGATCGGTTACAGCCAATTGCGGGCGCGACCCGGGGCACTGGCTGCGGCCCGCCATGGGTTGAGCCCGCGTGGCTACGGATGCTTCTGATGCTGGCAATGACGAGGTTCTGTACATGATTTCCTCCTCCTCCTCTTCCTCCCCCCACTACTCATGCTCCTCTTGCAACTCCCGCAATCGCTCGCGGACACCATCCTGGAGCACTCTGGGTTCATATTGGTTTGCTTCCGAGGTCATGTAGGAACAGCTTTGCGCGGTCAAGCCAGCGACCGAAGGGACCGACAACTCGTTTTTGGACCGACCATGCTGTGTGGGTCCCTTCAGTCGGCGGCTGAACGGACCTTGGCCGCTTGGGGGGGGGCTGGACAGCTATGGGGCGGCCACGCCGCTTCGCCGCTACACCGCTACACCATTACACCGTTGCAATGGCAATGGGGTGCAGCGGAGCAGATCAGCCCCCATAGACGTCCAGACCCCCAGGTGTCAATAGCATGGCTCGTCGCGTGGCCCAGCCAGCGACCGAAGGGACTTACAAATCATTGTTTTGGAAAACTTGTTTTCGAGGTCTTTTCGGTTGGTTGCTGAACGGACCTTGGGTTTGACAGCTGTGAAGCGTAACGTGGCTCGTTGCGGGTAACGGTGTAGCGGTGTAAAGGTGTAACGTTACACCGTTGCGGCTAAAGGTACAAGGGTGTAGCGGTGTAGCGCTACACCGCTGCCGCTAACGGTGTAACGGTGTAGCGGTGTAGCGTTGCACCGGTGCGGCTAATGGTGCATTGGGGTAGCGCTACACCATTGCACCGTTAGCGTAACGGTGTAACGGTGTAGCGGTGTAGCGTTGCACCGTTGCGGCTAACGGTGTAACGGTGTAGCGGTGCAGCGCTACACCGTTCGCGTAACGGTGTAATGGTATAGCGGTGTAGCCCTACACCGTTGCCAGCTAACGGTGTAACGGTGTAGTGCTGCAAGCCAAAATTAGCGCCTTGGATCCCCCCCACGCTGGGATTTCAATTCGCATAGATTGCAAACCTTTCTCCTTCCTCCTTCTCATCCTCCTCCTGCTAACCATCTTCCTCCTCCCTCTCATCCTCCCTCCCTCCCGTTTCCCTCCCCTCCCTGTCTTCCCTCCACCCCCTTCCGCCTCGTCAGGCCGAGGAGAACGTTGGGTTGGAGAGGGCGGCAGAGGAAGATCTTGTCTGTTGTGCTTATGCTTGTCATTTGTCTCATAGCAGTTTGTCGGAGCATCTCACTACACGGCTTTTGACAGCGTTCGAACTCATTATCCTCCCACCGTCCTCCAACACCGCTCCACTCCTTCCTCCACCTCCTCCTTCCCTCCGCCCGCCCGCTTGCTGTCGGATCGGCGCTGGACCCCTCTGGCGGCGCCTCCGGCGCCGCCCATGGCAGGCTCCGCGCGCCAGGGATGAGGGTCTAGTGCCGATCAAGAAGATCCGCGTGGACCTCCGAAAGTCTTCGATTGCGGTTTTGTTCCTTCTTCCAAAGATGGTTTCTTAGAGCCTCTTGCCCTCTCAGGAAGCAGCCTTCCTCACCGCCGCCCCCGCTTCCCTCCTCTGGTGCGCCCGCCAAGATAGCAGTAGCCTGGGAGCTGGCGGCAAGGCTCGGAGTACCACCGTCGCCGTCCCTGGGCCTCTTTTCCAGGCCTCCCAAAATGGGGTCCGAGCAAATGGCGTCAGAGGATCGCGCCGCATCGCCGATGCATCGGCGATGCTCGAGGTGTAGTCCGACTTTCTCTGCACCGACGGCGGCGATGCATCGCCGATGTCGCCGATGTATCGCCGATGCATCGATGCATCGGCGATGCGGCGCGATCCTCCGACCCGATCTGCTCGGACCGCATTTTGGGAGGTCCATCTTCGGCTGCGTATCTGGAGATCCCCGTTGCTGGAGGTCTGTTGCCACGTTTTTGTTGGCTGCCTTGGATCTCTATCGGCCGCGCGCGAAGGGGTGTCGGCGCGAGGAGGGAGGCCTTTTGAGAAAGCAAGGGCGGGGTTTGTTAGAAGGGCTCGGGGGTCCCTGAAAGGGCTTCGTAGAGGGCGGGAGGGCTATTGAGAAGCCCGCTGCCTTGAGAGAATGCCGCCTACCTCGCGCCACCCCCATTCCCAGAAGGTCGTTACTGTCATTCTGGAAGTCGAGTTTTTACCTCGAACGGGGAAGACACCCCTGATGGAGCAGCGAAGGCCTCCAGAACAGAGGTCGAGCCTTTGCCTTTGAGGCTTCCGATCATCTGGGATGGGCGCGCAGCCAGCCCTGGCCGGGAGAGCACGCTGGAGGCGACCATGGCGCGCTGCCCGCCCTTTTTGCAGCGTCCTGGCGGAGCCTGGCAGGAGGTCTCCTGGGATGCTGGCACGACGGGGGCGCTGGGGGGCATCCCTGGCTCGGGGGGGCCAGTGCTCCCAGGCAACGGGTTCCAGACACCCCCCTCGCGGGAGAAAACATCGTGACGCAAGGGTTGGGGGCAACTCTCAGGTCTCCGGGGGCACACTCGGAGCCCGGGGGCCGTGATAAAACGATTCGGGATGAAAAGCCGGTCCCCGGGAAGGCGGCGAGGCCTCCCGGGATCTACCTTGCGAAACACGACGTCGCCGAAGGGTCGAAGCGCGCTTTCTTCGGTCGTCCATTTCTGGGGGCAGGCCGAAGCCCAACCTGCCTCAGCCAACTTTCTGCTTCATGCTTTCCCTGCTCCCTCCGTGCGGCCTGCGCTGGGGCTAGGCAGGGGCTCGCGTGCTTTTGGGGGCAAGCAGGGCTGGTGATTCCAGGCAGGGGCTGTCAGGGGCATTGTCAACATCCTGAAATAGGGACCGTTTTGGGTGCAGGAGGGGCTCTGGTTCTCGGGTCGCTCCGTAGATCCAGGTCGGGCGAACTCACATGTGGCCGAGGCTCGCCGTGGCCTGAAAATCAGTTGCGCGTGGTTCATTGCATCGCTCCGCTCATTCCGCTGGCCTGTGTTGCACCGATCATCGAAGACGCCTACGGCGAGTCACCGCCGCCCCCCCGCCTTTGGGAATCGCCCATGTGGCCGAGCGTTGTGGCAAGAGCTCTGCCAAGCTATCGGACCCTGTGTTCCCCCAACCGTTGTGAAGACCCTTCGGGGACCAGTTGGGGGAGGATTGCAGGGAAGATCAGGAGGAGAAGGAGGAGGAGGGGGAGGAGGAGGAGGAGGAGGAGGAGGAGAAGCAGGAGGAGGGGGCATCTTGGGAGCCTCTGGGGGCACTCTTGGGGCGTCCTGAAAACTTCCTGGGAGCCTCTTGGAGGCATCTTGGGGGCCTCCTTGGGCGTCTTGGGGGCCTTTGGGGGCTTCTGGGGGGCCTCTTTGGCCGTCTTAGAGCATTCCTGGCCCGTCTGACGCCGTCGGAAGCCGTCTTGGGGGCCTCTTTGGGCCGACTTGGGGCCCTCTTGGGGTCGTCTTGGTGGCCTAATGGGCCGTTCTGGGGCCATCTTGAAGGCATCTTGGGCGATCTTGGGGCGATCTTTGGGAGCTTTTGGTTTTGAACGGAGGTCAAAGGCGAGCATAGGGAGCACCGTGCCTACGTCTGACGCCGCTCTATTTGACTGCGCCACCCGTGGCGCACTATCGCATCTGAAGTAAAGGGAAAAGAGATGTCCAGATCCTTCGATGGTGCATACTCTCATCTCTTGCCTTATATCTGATCTACCAGCCTATACCCCATGGAATGCCATGGAACGTCTACGTGGTTACTATAATGAAATGGGGTATCGTTTCACGCCCTCCTGACCCTCGTTTGTCACTTGGTAGCGGAGCTGGACTCATCTTGTCATGGCTGGCTCTTGCATTCTGTGTTAAGTACATACCGTTGTACCACAGCACAGTGGGACATCCGACTGCGCCGGCTATCAGCCACTACACTCCCACGAATCATCAACCGATTGGAAATGTTCGAGCCTATTCCTCCATCTCCCCACCGCGTGGCCGCACGGTCTACAACAGAACGAACCCTACACCTATTCGCCGACTGACGGACACGTCAGCTCAACAACACACCGACCATGATACAACCAACGATAATATGGGGCCCTCAGAGGGCTCCCGCAGGGGACTCAACAGGGCCCAAGAGGGCCCCAAGATGGCTCCAAGAGGGCCACAATGTGTATCACACATTTCACACAAAACGCTCTCCAATAAGGAGGCGGTTTGTGTTAAGTGTGCGTTGAATGTTTGGCCCTCTCGGAGGCGTCTTGAGGGCCCTCAGAAGGCCCCCGGAGGGCCCCAAGAGGCCCAGGAGGACCCCGCGAGGGCCCCAAGATGGCTCCAAGAGGGCCCGAAATTTAACACAGCACCAGCACCAGCACCACGGGCAGCCCAGGCAGCACCAGCAGCATCAACGCCAGCAGCAATTGCAACATCTGTGGCAACAACAATGAGAGAGGCAGCAACGGAAAGATGATTCCAAGATGGACCCAAAAGGGTTTTGAAAGGATCGCAAGATTCTCCTTGTCGCCCCAAGATGCTCACCCCTGTTAAGCAATGGCCCCAATATGACCCCAGAGCAATCCTGCGGCCCCAAGAGAACACCGAGACGAACCCATTCTCTTCCGACTGAAGTAAGGCTACCGCGTGACCCCGATTTTATTCCGAGGTAACCCCAGAACGACCCCATGAGTCCGAGACGACATCGAGATTGCCCCAATATGACCCATTTTAAGTCCTAGCTGACCCCAAGATTGTGTCAACATGGCTCCAATGTGACCCGATGCGTTTCTTCCTTCTCCCCTTGCTCTTGGCTTGGGCCGATAGGACGGACCGTCCTCGTCGCCTTCGTCGTCGTCGTCGTCTTCACAGCCCGCCTGGCCCCCTTTGCCCCATACGTAGCAGAAAACCAATTCCCGAACACAAGCCGAATCTATCCATTCTCTGATCTTGAGCAAATGGCAGCCGTGCCGAAGAGAGGGCAAAGGAGGGCAAGGAGGGCAGAGGACGGGTGAAAGAGCGCGTTCTGTGGTCGCTTGGAGGGGGGCGGGTGAAACCGGACCCCCCCCCTTCCCTCCTCTGCGTCCCCTCTCCTCGGGCCGGCGCTTGTGTCGGCGGCGGCTGGCGACGGCGGCGGGGACGACGATTTCCATTTCTGGGCCGGCGCCAGCGCCTGCGGCGGCGGGCGGCGGTGGCGGGGAGCGTCGACGAGGACGACGGTGGTCTGTGGTGGAGGTGGTAGTGATGGTGGTGTGGTGGTTTGTGGTGGTGGTGATGGGTTGTGCTGCTGGTAGTGGTGGTGGTTGTGGCGGTGGTGGTGGTGTGGTAGATTGTGGTGGTGGTGGTAGTGGTGGTGGGTTTTTGTGGTGGTGGTGGTGGTGGTGGTGATGGTGAGTTGTGGTGGTGGTTGTGGTGGTGGTGGTGGCTGTGGTGGTGGTGGTGGTGGTGGTTGTGTGGTGCTGTTGGTGGTGGTGGTGGTGGTGGGTTGAGTGGGTGGTGGTGGTGGTAGTGGTGGTGGTGGTGGTAGTGGTAAGTGTCGCTGCGTCCCCGCCGTCGCCGGCGCCAGCGCCGGCGCTGCTGGCCGCCGCCAGCGCCGGCGCTGGCGCGAGGGGGGGGGGGGGTTGAACCCGCATGTGGGCCCAATCCCAACCCACTGGGCCCAATCCCAACCAACTAGGACCAATCACAACCAGTGCGGAAAGCAAGCTGGGCCCAATCCCAACCATCTTGGGATAGCCCCACACTAGGAGTTTAATTGTAGAGAAACCCAAGACGACTGCGAAGACCAAGTGGCACCCCTTATGTCAACGCAGAGGATCTGGAAGCCAACATGCGTGTTCGAGTTGGAATTGGTCTCAGTTTTTGGTCTGCGCACGAGCACTACGTTAAGATGAGCAAGAGGGCACCGAAACGTAAGCGAAAAAAGCACCGAAATGCATCGATTCTAACATATGCAAATGGATCCTCCTAGCACTAGTAGTATTAGCGGTGGTAGTAGTAGTGGTAGTAGTAGTAGTAGTAGTAGTAGTAGTAGTAGTAGTAGTAGTAGTAGTAGTAGTAGTAGTAGTAGTAGTAGTAGTAGTAGTAGTAGTAGTAGTAGTAGTAGTAGTAGTAGTAGTAGTAGTAGTAGTAGTAGTAGTAGTAGTAGTAGTAGTAGTAGTAGTAGTAGTAGTAGTAGTAGTAGTAGTAGTTAGTAGTAGTTAGTAGTAGTAGTAGTAGTAGTAGTAGTAGTAGTAAAGTAGTAGTAAAGTAGTAGATGGTGGTGGTGGTGGTGGTGGTGGTAGTAGTAATCGTATCGTTAGCGTGTAGTCGTAGTAGTGTTAGTAGTGTCGTTGTAATAGGGTCGTAGTAGTGTAGTTAGTAGTAGTTAGTTGTAGTTGTAGTAGTAGTAGTTAGTAGTGTAGTAGAAGTTGTAGTTAGTAGTAGTAGTAGTAGTTAGTAGTTATGTAGTAGCAGTAGTAGTAGTAGTAGTAGTAGTTGAAGGAAGTAGATAGTAGTAGTCGTAGTTTGTAGTCTGTAGTAGTAGTAGTTAGTAGCAGTATAGTAGTTGTAGTAGTATCGTCGTAGTCGTAGCCGAAATAAGTAGCTGATTGTTATAGCAGTTGAAGTAGTAGTAGTAGGAGTAGTAGTAGTCGTAGTAGTAGTAATAGTAGTAGTAGTAGTCGTAGAAATAGTAGTAGTAGTAGTAGTAGTAGTAGTAGTAGTAGTAGTAGTAGTAGTAGTAGTAGTGGTAGTGGTGGTGGTAGTAGTAGTAGTAGTAGTATTGGTGGTAGTAGACGTAGTAGAAGTAGTCGTAGTCGTAGTTGTCGTTGTAGTAGTCTGAATCGTAATAATGGTAGTAGTGGTAGTCGTAGTAGCAGTAGTAGTAGTAGTAGTAGTAGTATCAGTAGTTGTAGTAGTAGTCGTAAACGTTGTCGTAGTCTTAATCGTAGTCGTAGTAGTAGTCGTAGTAGTAGTAGTAGTAGTAGTAGTAGTAGTACT